GCAACACTGATGGTGAATCAGTTTCACCTGCTGTTGTGCAAATGGAACAGACACCAGGTGGAAATGAGAGGCAATTAGCAAGACAACTCCTATAAAGGAGGGGATCTGTAAGTGGTGACCACAGATCATGTCTCTGGTCTCATCCTTTCTGGCTGATGTTTTGGTCACTTTCTCATTTTGTCAGTGCTCTTAGCCCTAGAAGTAGCATGAGGCGGTGTCTACAACCCACACAAGTTGCTCAGGTAGTGCAACTCATCCAGGATGGCACATCAGTACGAGAAGGTTTGCTATGGCTCCCATCACAGTGTCCAGAGCATGAAGGAGATACCAGGAGACAGGCCAGTACACCAGGAGACGTGGAGGGGGCCGTAGGAGGGCAACAACCCAGCAGCAGGACGCTACCTCCTTCTTTGTGCAGGAGGTCCAGGAGAAGCACTGCCAGAGCCCTGCAGAATGACCTCCAGCAGGCCACTAATATGCATGTTTCTGCTCAAACTGTCAGAAACAGACTCCATGAGGTGGTCTGAGGGCCCCACGTCCACCAGTGGGGCTTGTGCTTACAGCCCAGCACCGTGCAGGGAGATTGGCATCTGCCAGAGAACACCAAGGTTGGCAGATTGGCCATTGGTGCCCTGTGCTCTTCACGGATGAGAGCAGGTTCACACTGAGCACATGTGACAGACGTGACAGAGTCTGGAGACACCATGGAGAACGTTCTGAATGCAACATCCTTCAGTATGACCAGTTTGGTGGTGGGTCAGTAATGGTGTGGGGAGGCTTTTCTTTGGAGGTCCCACAGCCCTCCACGTGCTAGCCAGAGGTACCCTGACCGCCATTAGGTACCAGGATGAGATCCTCAGACCCATTGTGAGACCATATGCTGGTGCAGTGGGCCCTGCGTTCCTTCTGATGCATGACAGTGCTAGGCCTCATGTGGCTGAAGTGTGTCAGCAGTTTCTGATGATGAAGACATTGATGTTGTGGACCGGCCAGCCCGTTCCCCAGACCTGAATCCAACTGAGCACATCTAGGACATCATGTCTTGTTCCATTCACCAACTCCACGATGCACCACTGACTGATGCTTTAATCCAGGCGCCACATGTACAAAAATTTGCATGGATTTCATACAGAAACGTGGCGTACGCTTCAATCCAGAAAACTGTGTACGCACAAAAAAATCCAGATGAACTAAAGCACATTTCCTTTGTACATCTCACTCAGCGTGGAATTAACCGCACATGTTGGAGTATCAGACTCCTCCCTCTCCACGCCCCCAATTTAAATATGCAAATTGGTACAAACAGGGCCGACAGGTGGGATTCCCCGCTCTGCACGATCAGATAACAGTAACCAGGAGGAACTCACCCCGTTTGAGCGGAGAGTCGCTGCTATTGTGGGTGACACTGCTGTCACAGGGGTGGTGGGAGCACACGTGGGTCACTCGGACCCCCCCAAGGTAAATATATGTTGTGTAACTCACAGATTTATTCATTATACGGGTCATATAATAATCTGCTCACAGCCAAACAACATACAGGTTCTTGCATAATCTTGCCAGGATATCAAAGAGGAAATCAAAGACTTTCTCTCATGTCAAATTACTCAATGTATTATTTTCCAACAGGCAATGAGGCAGGAGAAGACTGTGAGACGCAGTCCCAGCCTCATGTCACAGACCCACAGGATTCCTCCAGTCTCCCCGGCGTCAGCCGATTCTCCGGTCTGCCACAACAGCTGTTGATGCCCGTCTAGGGCGCACATGCTTAACGTGTGCCAGAGGGATTAATATTAAGACAATTAAATTATTTACTCACCAACAGCTCAAAAGCAATAGAAACGTGCGTACGCCAGTCAAGGAGTTGACATGGAGGACTACACATTTCCACGATCATTTCACTCTTGATACAGCTGAACGTGAGCGTGGAAAAGTGTGTACGCCAAGTTTTTGTGCCCCTGGTCTAGGAGGAGATCCCTCAAGAGAACATCCGCGACCTCATTCCACATCCAGATCTCCATGGGATAATAATTTTGATTTACATTGATCATTTTAATGTTATTTTGCTCTCAACACATTCCACCATGTAATTAATAGAGACTTTCAACTGGAATATTTCACTCATTGAGATCTAGGATGTGCTATTTTAGTGTTCCCTGTATTTTCTGAGCAGTGTGTAAGTATATGAAATATAGGCTAGTGTGAATGTAAATGTAAAAGTGAGTGTGGCCTTTTTCAACAAAGAAGTGTTTGTGGTGAAATATAAATGTTAACAATCAACTCAGAATCATGGAAAAAAAACCTGATTTGACCCCTCATAAGTTACTTAGGGCCGGATTTGTAAAAAATCTATTTTTCGTCAATTGGTTATCGGTACCCTAACTTGAGCAGGTTTTTTTTTTAAGGTTTTCCATGGGAGTTGAACTTCAACATTTTAAGGCATGTTATTACACACCTTTACAAACATATTGGTGAAGAAATTGTTTGGTAACGATTTAGTTGCCAGATTTTGATATTTTCCCTTTACTATAAGTGTATTTTATTCATTCATGACCTCAGCTCTTGAAAAAATAAATAAAAGGTAAACACAAATACTCAGTATTGTATTGTGTTAACCACCTGGAACTATGTGTGTGTCCCAGTCCTAGCAAAAGCAATGACCTGATTTTTCTATTACCTGGATATTAGGAGGTAGAACATTCCCAGAGACATGAGGGAGATCCCAATGTGAAAGGAAACTCCCACTGCTCCATACTCTTTGAAGACTTTCTTGAGCTGCTGTGTCTTGGTGGGTTTTCCTCCTTCTGGCTCCATGTCTCCTGGGCTTTTCTCAGTAGGTGAGGTAGTAGAGGGCTCCTTCAAAGTCTGCACATCCTGGACACAATAAAAAAACGAGAGCAAAACAGGAAGGAGTGAGCAGGACAAACTTCAATGAGAGGGTGAAGTGAGAATCTAACTCTGGTGAATGTGGTGTGTTGGTTCAGAAGACAGACTACATGGAGACTAAGACAGAGAGAAGATATATGAATGACAGAGAGGAGGTGAATTAAAATTGTGGGGTGTGTGTCTCTTCAGAATACTAATGTGAAGAGTGTCACTTGAAAGGGATACTGGAGTAATGTGGGTGTAGTTTATAACAAGGCCAAAAGGCAAAAACTGTTGCAACACAGATGACTGTGACACCGATGAGTTACTCTGGACAAGACTTGTTGATAGATGCAGTATCTGGACATAAAATAATAACATTTACAGGTGCAATAATAAAAGTAAACATCAAGAACTCTGTGCATAATAACGTCAGGGTTACTGCTGTATGCCTTTACAGGTAGCAGCGACACACTGATCCACTTTGCATGCTAAGCCTTACAATTTCAAAAAAAATGTCAATCATTTAGTGAACATGAATCCAGAGTAATACAGACCACAAAGTGACATCTTCAGATGTTGCCAAAATAGGGCTGCATGATATGAAGGGGAGAGAAATTACATTGTGATATTAAATTTTTCTACAGTATACTTTGCAAAATTAAAAAATACAGGATTTTATTATTTTTTTTAACCAAGATGCTTGTCTCCCTGCATGCAAATGTTCCACAAAAACTGTCCCATCATTATTTTGAGTGAACATCTAAGCTGCGTCCTTCACTTAGAGCTGCTCAAGTTGATTGCAACCGGTTTAAAGAAATACAAACAAGTGTCTTTTTTTTTTCTCTCTTATAGCAGAATGATAGTGTGGTAAAGCCTAACCACTACGTACTACAGAATAGGCAGGCTGAGGAAGATTACATGTCTGTAAAATGTAAAATGTTTTTAAAAACCACAGAAAGGCCGTTTGGAACCTGTTTCTTTGCATTCAGATCTTCTCATGCAGGGCTTAGCTGATTTAAGTGGTTAAACTAACTAGTTGTGTTGTTTGTTGGTTAGTTAACTGAATTTCATGTAGTAGCAATTATTGCAAGACACTGTTGACATCTATTTACTTACAATTGATGTTACGTGTCTTTTTGCAAATAAATCTTCCCTTTTAATGTTTCTCTCATTTTTGCTGTGCATATGTACAACGTGCATGTCTGTCTTGTAAATAATTTTTTGTGTATCCAAAAACCATTGAATCGGAGTAAATTATGGTCTCTCTGACAGACTTCTCTTGTACATCAACCAAGGAAAAAGAGAACTGTGTGAGTCTTCTCTTTGAATCAACATTGACATTGCTATGTCCATGCTGAAATTATATATTGTGCAGCCCTAGAGTAAACCTAAAGATTTATTTTGCTTCTTTTTTGGGGGGGGGGTTTTCTGATGTTATGCAGAATCTCTGAAGCACAGACAAAACTCCATCTTGGAGACACCTAGTTCAAAAATGCATGTAGCATTATAATATAGAGTAAACTGTGTGCTGTGATTGTGCTGTGTGCAGTAGGTCAAACAATGACTTTTATGAGCCTTGTGTATTCATGACACAGCCGAGTCAGCTGATTAAACATAAGACTGCTGCTGTGTGGTTGAGGTGATTCCCATTATCACTCACCCTTTCACATACTCATAAAAGAAGTCAGTCACTTTCTCCAACACACGCATACACACAAAAAGCCTCTCATAAGTGCACAAACACATTACTCTGTGTTTGTGACCTCCAGACACACCACTCTACAAGATGAACAAGCACCAGACACAATTCAGCTGTCTGACATGGAGCAGAGAGCAGGCAGGTCACTCCACAGTGTGTGAAGCAGATTAGTGAACTACAACACACAACAGTGGCAATAAGACCACAACAGACTGTAACGCAGCACTGACCTGAGGAAGCCTGTAGTTTGTAAACAGGACAGCTGTAAAAACCTCCATCTGTCTGAAGTGTTAATGGTTACATTTTACAACTCCAGCCACGCTTAAAGCAGCAGAACCCGTAAAACAAGATTGTAAGAGTTTAAGATCTTGATGTGGGCTGCAGAGTTAGCAAAATAATACAAACACTGACTCTTAAGACAGTTTTTCAAATCTGAGAGTATACAACCTTATATTATGGAACAATAAAAATGAGTAGTGCATGAGATCAGTTCTTTTTGACTAAATAAAGCCTTTAAGTATCAATCTTTTGGTTACAAATTGTCACATGCAAAAACCAGGTAGTGTTGAGGCATTGTGAACACTTTGTAAAATCTTGCCACAGACACTATGCTTGTTTGTAGCATACACATATAAAACTCCTTCCAATCCAATCATTTTACTTAATGATTGGCTGACAGTGATACTGCACTAGACACTGATGATGAGATAAACCTTTATTAGTGTTACTTGAATGTATATACAGTATAGGGTCCTAATGAAGATAAGTGAGAGTTGAGTATCATAGCTTTGAGAAAAAAATAATCCACATGAAATCACAGATGTAGTATTTTTGAACATTCCAACCCCCTGAGAGCAGTCCAACAGCCTCCCTGTGTGGTTTATGGTTAAAATAAAACTGCTTGCTTCAGGAAATATATGGCCAAAGTCTAAGTAAACAACACCAAATTCAGAGCAAGCATTTGGAGCCCTCTTTGAGCACTTTACAGCTCTAATATTGTACCCATACTAAGCAACTTAATAAAAGTCCCTAGAATGTGTCACAATTTTTCAGTTCAAAATGCCACTTTTGTCATTTTCTCTCTGAGTGATCATACTATGTGGAAATATCGCAGAATTCACAGCACAGCCGTTGTTTTTAACTTGTCTATGATGAGTTGTCACATGCTGCGATAAGATATATAGTTTAGCGGTTCATAGTAGCTGCTTAGAAATGGCAATACAGTGCCTCCTTGTTAACATCTTCATGGGCTGCAGCTTAGTCAGTATTTCATACTCATTCCATTGTCTAACAACAGAAATGGAAAAATATGTAAAAGAAAACAGCTTTATTGGTAATTTAGCTGCATTACAATGCAGTATATGTGAGCACAGAGAGCAGGAGAAAAGCAAGCAGTTGTAAATGCTGGCAAATGTTGCTCCGAGACACAACATATGACATAAAAAAAACACAGTAGCCAGCCTAGTTGTTCTTTATTGGTTTCAGATCGGTCTTAATGTTGCCATGCTCTCTCAATGTCTGACCTGTCGCCATAGGATTGAAGCTAATGACAGTATTAGCCACACAATGGAATACTACAGTTTTGTTGTTGCTGTGGTGACACTGAAACTAATACAATGAATCCATTGGCTCATCAGTTCCCCAGATGTTCGGAGCAGTGGCGGATCACTGGGCCCCCCCACACAACCTTTCATATACATAAAAATATGTATATGAAAGGTTGTGGCCAGCCGAGCAAAAGTCCGGATACTACGAATAACGAGCTCCGATGCCCGAGTGCTTGCGAATGCACCATGAAGACATAATGGTTCTACTACAGCTACATTACAAGGTGACACGACCCCCCAGCCCTGATGAGGCTGCTCATAGTTGACCTCGCCCATGTGGACAACAGTTGGGCTTCAGTGCGGTCAGCAAAACGTGAAAGTCACCAGTTAGACTGGGTTAGACCACAGGTGACATAACTGTAAACAACATGCTGGTGTGATATAATCACATTTTTTTTCCCAAACAATAAGCCATGGATTAATAAGAGATCATAATAATAATAATAATAATAATAATAATAATAATAATCTTTATTTGTATGGCACTTTTTAAGAACACAATTCACAAAGTGCTTTTACATAAGAATAAAACAATGTATAAAAAGTACAGGCAAACACTCAAATATAAAAATACACACAATAAAAATGTAAAAGCACAGACTGGGTCACTCTTGAAAGGTGTACTAGTAAAAGTGATTTTAAAAACTGATTAAAAAGACAACATCACAGAGGGGAATGAAGATAAAAGTAAGATAAATGTAGATTAAGAAAGATAAGAGAGAGAAGGGCAGCAGGTAGCACTAATAAAAAAGGGAAAAGAAATGGGCGAAAATCTAAAAGAGAAATAAATGAGAATATCACTCGAAAGCAAGTCTATGGATGTGACTAAAATCATTCTTAAAATTAAGAAGAGGGCCTTCATGTCCAAGGCCAGTGAGGCTATCACTATTGTATTCTTTGTGTGCCACTGTCATGTAGGGCTGGACCTGAATAGCCGAATGTCCGAATATTCAGTCACTGTGCTGATCTCTGAATATTTGCGAGTGGCATAAATAAAAACAGAAAAAAAGCCACACCTGCTTTGTATATAGCTGCAAATACTTGTATTTAGTTTGATTGTATATCAAATTTACCTTTTCAAATTTATATCTGCAACCTATGGTTTGTGGAAGTTTTGTGTGTGTGTGTGTGTGTGTGTGTGTGTGTGTGGGTTTCTAAACAACTCATGTTGAGAAATAAAAATGATATTTACTTATGTAACATTTATCTCAGCAGTATTTGTGTCAGTTTGATTACTCTTGCTGATTGGGTACATGCAAAAATGTCTGAAGATTTGGTTTGAAAAAATAAAGAATTTTTTTTTTTTAATTTAATGAGGTTAATTTGTAATTCTAAATTGTCCATACATGTGAGTGTGAGAGTGCTTGTCTGTCTCTAAGTGTAGCCCTGTGATAGACGTTACCTGTCCCGGTGTCCCCTGCCTTTACCACTGTTAGATGACTGTTAGTTTTTCAGTTAGAATGTAGCAATTCAGTAAAATTCTTAAAGGCTTGCAAAGCTATCTAGTGGTGAGGGGCCTTTAGGAATGACGGAAGTGACTTCATATCTTAACAGCTTTTATTTTGTACCTCCAAGTTTATAACAACCTCAAAACACAATAAAAATGGATTTTCAACATATGGGACCTTTAGAGTTTTTTATACTCAGCGGTCTGGACACAAATGAGTTGGTGCTCAAAGCCATATTTGAAGCAGACAGGTTCAGCACATTAGAATATCTACAACTGTAGCCTGTAATACTTTCTGTTTGATAACAAGGACGTCCATTTACCTGATCACCCTGCTATAGTGGTGCAATCACAACAAAATATCTTTTATGGCACCCCTTCAGCTTTACTCAGAGTTTCAATTATAACTAAGGATATTATCTTATTGCCCATATTGAAGTACTTTTTTCCTGTTTGATTAAGAATGTTGAAATAAACCAGAGACCATAGTTAGAGCATTTTAGTAGGCAGGAGGGCATTTTGTCCAGCAGTTCCTTTTGTAGGCAAGTCATCTAATACCTCCTCTGTCAAGCAGAAACACAAGCTACCTGTGAGAAAACAGGAAATACCTCTTGCCTCTAAATCTAATCTATATTTAGGCTAAATATTGACATTGTGCTGACAGAGCTAAGACAACTCACTAAGTACAAAGAACACTGCCTGCTGTGGCCTCTTTTAATAAGACAATCTATAATTACTATAGTCGACCAAATCTAGGTCAACTGAACAGTGAAGAGGACAAAATGCAAGCTGTTAGGAAAAATGTGTCCGAGAATTTTATCCTGATCATACAGGAGAAATGAGCAATATACTAATAATAATGTAATAATAAAATAATAAAATATAATATAGAATGGCAATATACAGAAGATTTATGAGGCTTAGCAAAGCTGACCTTTGTGTTCAATGCCGATATCAAAACGCTCACAATGATGTCGCCATGCAACTGCTGAATAGCTATGTTTACCACGGTAGCCATTTTAGCTTAGAATTTTAGCATGATAATTAGTGCAACGTATAAAGTATAGTTGGCTGACAGGTCCACGGTTGCAGAGTTTATGGCAGGAAACATGAATGTGTGTGCCAAATTTCTCTGCAATTCAAAACCACAAGTCATGCTCCAGTTTATATATCGTTTCAAACTTGAAAGCATCCAAAATAACGGCAGATAGAGGCCCACTGTCCATTCACTGCAATATGTGACATTTATCACTGACAGTAACTTTCATTCATGCCTTTTTTTTTTTTTTTACTGCACTGACATTCTGCTTGCAGACTGTCTTCCCTTGTTGGCCAGACAATTAATGAAGATGGTAGAAACAATGAAGAAGAAGAGGGGGAAAAAATAGGAAAAACAAGCTGATCTTTTTTCTCTGCTTCAATTTGTCTGGCTAAATTTTGGCCCAAGCCCCCTAGGATGAAGCTATAGCCTTGGCAATATATTCACTGAGCTTCCAACAATGGACAATGGAAGAGTCCAGAGTGGGTGAGGGAGCAGGCCTTTGCTTTTCAGAGGCGAGAAAGGCCAAGCTAAAAGTAAAGGCAGGCAGCACTGTGGGAGGGTCATGTGAGCGAGTGGCTAAAGGGAGTTGTGCCAGGGAGGGTGCATGGGAGGGGAACAGTGGGACTGCTGTGTCTGATAACAGCTTTTCACAAACGTAAAAACACATGCAAAGTCACCGTGGCATGCAAACACAAAGGCACCCTGACATGCGCACACACATACACGAAGGAGGTGGGAAATACTGAAGCGGTGGATCTCACCAGTCAAGCAGGAGCTGGAGAGAAACTGCTAACTGCCTGGTCATGAAACAAAGATAGTCAAACTGAACAAATGACTGCAACAGATTGCCTCCTACAACTGGACTGTAGAATATATTATCTCCTTAAACGGGAATCCTCTGAATGACTTAGAGGAGTGCTACTACATATATGACAGTACCTGAAGTATTGTATTGGTCCTGAAGGAGCTTCATGAACACTATAAAGTCACACTTGAGGCAGTGTTGGTTTGAAGAGTCACAAAGAATTAAGCTCACCAGACCTGTGTAGCTTTACTTCTTAGCTCTGTTGAGGCTAGCAGCTTAGGCTGCATTATCCACTTATCAAACTTGCATGTTGTTGAGTTGCATTAATAATGAGGTATTTACATTTTACCAGAGTTTTACAAAGGGAAAAAACATTTTAAATATTTAAAAAAGTATCTATGGTTCAACTGCATCTATTGTAATCCATTTCCCTTCACCTGAATCCAGATGAGATGTATATCAAGCAAAAGACAAACTAAGCATGAGCTAAAAGCTATAATCATATTACACCAAAAACTATGACCATTTCCTGTAATAAAGGCTTGTAATACATTTTTCTGGCTGTATCACCGAGCCTTGTCTCAAACGTGGCCTTTAGCATTTTTGTATTGCAGTTTGCGATTGTTGCTTTCAGTCAACATCAGTTATTCATCAGTAATAGATTAGATTAAAACTCAGACTCAAGGGTGACGTTTGGAAGCCATTCTAGCAGCATGGCACTTTTTATCGTTTACTGATTCTATTTTATCTATTTTATTTGTGTTCCCCTCCCCCACTCGTCCTACAGGTGCCTATGGCACTTGCCAGGCCGGCATTGTAAATAAGAATCTTGCTCTTAATGTCTTTGCCTGGTTAAATAAAGGTTAAATAAATAATAAATATCCAGACCAAAGTATCTCAACAAATATTGAATGCACTGCTATGAAATTTAGTGCAGATATTTGTGTCGAGTTGATGAATCCTAATGAGTTTGTTAAATCCCTGATACTTCCTCTAAACGCCAGTCATGTTTCCAGTGTTTTGGTTAGTAGTTGCATATCTTCAAAAGGCTAATGACATTCCCATCAGCCTCATATGCACTTCTGCTAATTAGTAAAGCTGCAACTACGCTATTTTCATTATCCAATAATCTGTTTATTATTTCCTCAATTAACTATGAAATAAATGTGAAACATTTGTGAAAACTTGGCATGTAAACCTCTTGCAAAGCCAGGTGACGTCTTCGAATGGCCTAATTAGTCTGTCCATGAGTGCAACACACAAAGATTTTTCATTAACTGTCAGATGACTTGAAGACGTAGCAAATTCTCACATTTGAGAAGCTTAACCCAGCAGCTGTTTGGCATAAATAGTTGCTCAGATATGTTTTCTTTTGATCGAGTAATAGATTTATTTGTTGCAGCTCTAATATCTAATGCTAGTTAAGATGGTGAACACAGTCCATGTTATAGCTGGTAAATATCAGCAGGTTAGCATTGTCTTTGTGAGCAAGTTTGCATGCATGAAGCTTAAAGCATCATAGAAGCTTTAGGTGGGTTGTGTGCCCTCTTGTGCAGCAAACAAAGATAATAAACTGAACAAAAGTATAAATGCAGCATTATCAAATTCTGTCTACTCTTTTACTTATGGGAGTAAGTATTTGTTGATCTAACACATGGCATCTTTTCAGCAGAATAATGTCTTCCAAGTATGCACTGTTGGTGAAATAATGTGAAGATCAAGACCTGAGTTACTGACCAGAATTCACAGGTCACTGTCCACCATTTGCATTATGTAGTGCCAAAAATCTGCACACCGAGTCAACGAGGATGTTGATGCTGCTTGTGGAAAGTTGTCCCACTCTTCCTAAAGGAAGAGCTCGGCGAAGTTGACAGACATTTTGAGAGACAGGATTGTGTTGTCCGACACATCCATCCAGAACTGTGTGACATGGTTTCTTAGAAGGCAAATAGCACAGTTGGACCTAATTGACATGCCAGCATTCAGTGTGCCGACAGCCAGTTCTTGTCTTTGTCTCATCATCTGTCGTATCATGTCATTTGAAAAAGGCTGCATTTTACGATGGTCTTTGAAAGTCCCGGGTCAATGGAGTGTCTGTATGCTGGTCACATTATCTGATCACTGTCCTTAGGAGCCACACCTGACAAGAGAATCTGTCACCATAAACAGCTCAAAAACTTATTGTACACAACGGGCTAAACTGTATTTAATTACAACAATAGAAATGAGATATTTACCTTTTTTTACAAGTCGTAAAAGAAGATGCTGCATATATATCTTTCTTCAGTGTGACTACCTAATCCAGTACAAACCTTAGACCTTTATACATCTTAAGATAAAGCCGAACAAACCTACACACTAGTGTTTGTTGTGCCTTCTAGGAACTGCTTAGCATCAAGTTCAACCACAATTTTATCTCCAGATCTTTTTATATCACTGATGCTGACTCACCACTGACAGAGCACATGGCAAAAAAGCAAAGTGAATTTACATCCCACTCAGAAGTTGGTGGGTTTGGTTGAAATGACTCACTCTTACCATGAGTCTCTGGAAAGGAGCCAGAGAAGTGAGTGTGTGGGTTAGGGTTAGGCTTAGTGTGTTTAGTGACCTGACTGAGACTGCAGGCAGCCCCTCAGCTCTGTCTATGACACTTTTGCTGCTTTCTAAGTTGTAAAGGCAGATTAATTATACATGGACTACTGTGAATTCGCTGCTCAGGCAGACAGCCTACATAAGAGTGTGCGTCATGCAGACTTGCATAACAAGCGTGCCTGCTAACATGAGTTTTCCACAGGGGCGTTTTTACACGCGAAGCGTCGCGCTGTTTCCCACCATCGCATCCTGTGGACTCGTAGCATCAGGTCCAGACAGGCAGGCGGCTTTTTTAAATTTTATTTTATTTTACTTTTGCATATTTTATAACTGTGTTTTGAATCTAGTTGCTCCTGGACCCAGAGACCCAGACAGCGTGTTCACCACCAGTTGTTGTGTGGACTCAGAGCTGTTTGCTCTTATTAAGCGGTTACTGGGGTTAGACAAACACTCGCTTTTATTTACCCCTTTGTTGCTGTCAGCCAGTCCCTCGTCGCTCCTCTTGGTGGATAAAGCTCTGGTGTGCATGGTCCTGGAAACCTCCCAGCTACCTGTAGACCAAACATTACCCGTCGCCGGCTCTCCTCTGCTGTTATGGCGCCTCTTTGCGTAAGAGAGCTGCCGCCTGATTGTATCAAATTCACCGCCTTCACGTTGCGCGCTTCTGGAGAGATTCACAGCCACAGTGGCCACCCGGTCTAAGTGCCCCCAGTCAGTGGTTACAAAACCAAACGACGCGTCCCAGTTCTGCGCCGGCTCCCGTTTTTCCAGGTATGCACGGCTTGGATCGACTCCACCGACAGATGTGCACAACAGCCGGTACCGCTGAAACGTGCGCGCTGTCAGAGTGACGTCCCTCGGTCTGTTTGTTTGCACCAGAAACGAGCCCGACTTGAAAGCGTGATCCAGAGCCGCTGCTGACTGCCTGCCTGTGCGACACAACAACATTCTCGCCAACGGCCCTCCGACGAGCTCAGTGTGGCCAAAAATAATCGAGTAAAGCGAGCAAATGGTTTGTCGAACCTAATTATGACAGTAAGTAGGTGTAAACATGCTGCCCTATGCCCTCCTCGGTCCCTCCGGTCCTCTTGTTGACCGATTATCTCCCACAGCCAATGAGGGCTGACGCGCAATCGCAGATAGTAAAGGCTGAAGGGAGGGGGAGGGGGAGGGGGGGGCATTTAAAGGTATAACAGTGCTGATTCATGTAATTGAGTTGTATCATGAAACTTCCTGGGGATTTTGCTCCAGAGCTCACAGTGCACGTGTTTTAAAGCCAGGACACAGGGGACACCCTGGACAGGTCACCAGTCTATCACAGGGCTACACTTAGAGACAGACAACCAAGCACACTCACATTCACGGGACGCGAACTGGCGACCTTCTTTAACATTGTAAAAGAAAAATTACTATTTTGTAAAAAAAATAAAAAATAAAAATAGACTTTTGATGTACAGTTTTGTCTTGTTTAATTGTATCCAGTCCGTGTGAATTAGATATCATGGGCAATTTGACAAAACAGGGAAAATCTGTAAAATAACAATGTAAAAATGTACTAATTTTCAGTCCTTACTATACATATTTTTTCTTTCTAATAGCAGCAAATATCTGCAAAATAATGCTATTTCTGCTGATTGAAATACAGCACACAAAAAAAGCAATTTTACATTCAAATGTTGTAATCATCATCATTTGTAAAAGTACAGATTTTTGATATGGACATTATTTACTATTTTTGGCTGTTTTTTTATGGATACTGTGTAAATCATTTAAAAATGTTATAACATTTTAATATTTAAATTAAATTATTAAATCAATTCAATTTTATTTGTATAGCGCATATTTACAACAAGTCATCTCATAGCGCTTAACAAAGGCAGAAACACCCAACAATCCAAA